TGGCACCATCTTTATTATCTTTGTTATTGATTCCTAAGAATTTCTTTTAATTTCATGAATGATAGTTATAACAAGATAAACATATGATTATTAACTTATTTATTATGACTGATCAAACAAATAATCTTCATCAATAATAATAAAAGATGAAAAGTAAAAAAAATTCAGCTTCACGCTACTTATAAAACTATTTTAAACATACTATATTTTAACTCTATTGTTGTACTTAAAAAAGTATACAATACACTTTAATTACCAAATTAAATATATAATTAGCTATACATTTATAAATATACATATAAATTTTTTTCAATTATTCATGAGATTAACACAAGACTCCTACAATGTTATAAAAATAAACTACCTTAAAAATATAAATAAAATAAAATTGTATTTGCTGTCAAAAAATCAATGCAGTGCCATTTTAATTTTAATTTATTCCAAATAATTATTCTAAACATTTTTTATTAGTGTAAAACAAAATACATTATACACACAATATAATATAATTTTAATTACCAAATTAAATATATAATTAGCTATACATTTATAAATATACATATTAATTTTTTTCAATTATTCATGAGATTAACACAAGACTCCTACAATGTTATAAAAATAAAAAGGGTGGAAGAGGGTAAAAAAAATACCTAGAATTTCACTGCCAACAAGTCTGTTGTCTGTTCCTTTGAACATTGATGGTGAACCTTTTAGCCAATCACTTTTAAAAGAGATATGATCTCCCAAGATACCTCATGTAACAAAGTCTGCCAAGTTGGAAAGATGCCCTGCAGGCACTCCTGTTTTTCAGGCCGGTAACTACGTGGACGAGATCTCACTGAGCCAGACTTTTGACAATCAGCATACAGTCTGGTCCACACTGGAGCTCAATTTGGCCAAGTAGTATCTTTTTGTGATATGAAATACCATCCAAATAACAAACACCATCATCATCAAATGACCTACTACTATTAAACACCTCAAAAAAACAAAAAACAAAACAAAACCATTCCTCCAAGGAAACTGTTAAAACCGATGCTGCCAAAGACAGATCTGAACAGAAAAATGGGCCTTTTGGCTTCATTGTGGCGTTTTTCCATTGGCCATCTTGCGAGCCTTTTAGAATTCATCAAGCTGACTGATGCTCTGAACTGAGATAAATAGCTGCTTCAAGGTCCCTGTTTCAACCTCAAACAATAGACGGCCTTCTCCCCTGCCTTCACCGCAGATACGAACAGATGGAGCATTCACTCATTCCTAAACATGTATAAATCTAGTGTGGAAGCAGCGCTACGTCCTGCATACAATACGCCAGAATATTGTAATTACTTACAGAGGATTTTTAGGAGAGCAAATATGAGTTATGCAATAACTGTTTGGTAATAGTGTGCAATTTAAAATACAAAATGAATGCGCATCAGCAAATCCTGACATAAGAGGTCGTCTTATCACACGTCCTACATGGCAAGGCAAACGCCCTGTAATCCTATTGCGTCAAGTTTTAGGCAAAGTTTTTAGATTGTGTTTATTCAACATTCAATAAATCCGACACAATATTACTCTTATCTTAATCCACGAGCAGACGTTTTCTTATGCCGAGGGATTATGCAAACTACTGACTAGGTTGTCCTGAACGCGCTGGAGTGGAAAAAGAAAAACCTCTCTAAAGCAGTTCGGCATGTTGAGGCCTACAGCAAAGCTGACGTATTGAGTTCCATCAATCCATTCAAAGAATTCTTTGATTGGTTTGACAGAAGCAAGATGAGGTAACCTGAAGTAATTTATCACCGACAGACGGGAAGGTAGCAACGGGACAAACATATGTGCTCGTCAAAACCAGCTCACCAGAAACTCACCAGAAGACAAGCTTCACAGGAAGAACCGTTCAGGCCGCAGATAGAAAACAGTTATTGAGCTCATCCAAAGTGACTAGGCACATGAGAGCCATTTATCATCTACAATATTGTTCTCCAAATGGCAGAGTGTGTGTGAAATAATGAGCTGAAACTAGCAAGTAGCGGCTTCAGAAGTAGTACTTTATCAAACTTTACATTTAGCCTTCATGGGTAAATGGTGGCTAGTTGTAAAGAGGTTGACAAAACAACAAAAACACATAACTCAAGAGTTTCTTGAAAGTTAAACTTTCAAACTTAAACTTACTTATAAGAACAACTGAATTAAAGATACAGTATGTTGCACAAAATAGAGAAGCTAAACGCTACACATTCACAGTGTATGCCGACAGCTTTGTAGGTGTTCTCCATCACACTGTTGTCCAAATTGTGGAGAATATGGGAAATGAGATGAAACTAGCAAATAGTAGCTTGAGCATGAAGGTAAAAGAGCAGCAAAAGCCTTTAATCTGCAACTTTGAATTCAAAACACGGGTGCTTTGATTGTTTGTGTGTGCAAATCGAAAGATTCAGCTTTTCACATCAGAGCTGTGAGCGTAAATTTCAACTTGCAAATACGAATATTAATATGACAAGTTCTCACATTCAAATCAACAAGCTCTCGAGTTTTGCTGCTCTTTTACATTCATACATGAGTAGTACTTTATCAAACTTTACATTTAGCCTTGCTAGCTAAACGGTAACATGTTTTATACAAGTGGTGAACAGAACAACAAAAACATAAGTGTCTAATTCAAGAGCTTAAGTTCCAAGTTCATATTTTAGAGCCTTGAGATGTTTTGAGAGCCTTTTATATTTAAAAAAGCTTTATCAGAACAACTGAACTTAAGAGACAGTATGTAGCACTAAATGGAGAAGCCAAAAGCTAACAGCTACATAGTCACAGTGTATGCATGCAGCTTTATACATTCTCCATCACATTTTTTGTCTGAATTGTGCAGAATGTGGGGAATAATGAGCTGAAACTACTAAGTATCATTTATCTGAACTTTATATTTAGCCTTGCTAGCTAAACGTTAGCATTTTTTATATAAGTGGTGGACAGAAAAACAAAACCATTAGTGTCAAAATCAAGAGCTTAAGTTCCAAGTTAATATTTTAGAGCCTCAAGATGTTACATTTACATTTACATTTAGACATTTAGCAGACGCTTTTATCCAAAGCGACTTACAATTGGGGGATACATAAAGCGATTCTTCTTAAAAGAGGCAAACAGATACAGGAAGTGCTTGTAATACCAAGTTTTTAGACATTGTTCAAATAAGTACACGCTAGAAAGAGAAGGAATAGATAAAGAGATAGAAATTTTTTTTTATTTTATTTTTTTTTAATGATGATGATGAAGTCAAGTAGCTTCGAAAGAGATGAGTTTTCAACTGTCGCTTGAAAATGGTCAGGGATTCAGAACGTTTTGAAGAGATTACGTGTGTCTGGAGCGCTGTTGATCTTGAGCGCTGATTGGTCACAAGACTGTCACAACCCAGTTGTTTTTCATGCTAATCTGTCATTTTTAACACTGACACTTTCACACTAGGCGAAAGCCAAATGAAATGCTATAAATAGTAGTAAATAGTAAAAAAATACTGGACAAACTACATTGTGTATGGATTTAATGTGCAATTCTATGATGATTCTTTGTTAAACATTAAGGTCAGCAACCTTGACCAACCTGAAGTCAAAGTGTCTTACTCAAGGACACGATACTGAAAGGTCGTATTTTCCCTTTTAAGGCTCAAAACCCACCACAATTAAGTTTCCAATCTGGATCTTCAACCACTACACCACATCACCGCAACTTTAACTGAACGTAACCACTTCATTGGTCCTACTCACCATCTCCTAAATACCACACATCTCAACGCAGACTCAATTTCACACTACAAGATTTTACAAGAAGTGCTCGCCGGATAGCATCCGGGAACAGAGCCAGTCAAAGGGCCGGTAGCGGACAAGAATAAAAAAGACGCCGCACAGCCTGCACGGCATATTGAGGACCATCAAAGTGGAAAGAGATTAGAACGGCGGTGTGACGCTGAGAAAGTCTGCCAGCCCAGATTTAGTGAATGAGATCTGGTACTGGGATGCTGTAATGAGGACACATTATTGTACGGCTACAGATATTGTTTAAAACAATACGTTTCGGCATGCCACTTCCTAAGACACTGGCTATGTTCGGAATAAAATAATAGTGTACTGCTTACAGCATACTGAGCAATATGCACAATGATAAATGGTTCAAACAGTATATAGTAGTCACATGACCTCTCCAAGCTGCATGTTTAATTCAGCAAGTGTGGCCCAGTTATTATAATGGTAATTAATCAATGTCCTCTTCAATGCACTGCATTCTGGGACAAATTACCCAGTGCAGTGCAGTGTTATATACTGCACATTAAATAATTTTTTGCAATTAACTACACGACTGTATAATAGGAAGGGCTGTCAACTGATTAAAAAAAATGTAGATAGATAATTTAAAATCAATTGATTCAAAATGTATTATTATTGTTTGTTTTAATAAAATAAAATTAATTATACTAAACTAGACCTAATGCAAACTGTATTCCAAGCATACAAAATATCTGACTCTAATGTTTTTATAATTAATTGCACAACTCTATAATGGATATGGCTGTCAACTGATTACAAAAAATATTATTATGTTAATTAAATAAAATAAATTCCAAATGTAAAGTAAATCATTAATATCTTTTTCTTCTTTAAACAATTTAAGCAAATATTCATTTATTATTAATAATTTTATTCAATTCGATATCTATTTATTCAACTTGTTTACTCTTATTAATATACTATTTATTAATATTATTTGTTATTATTTATTATTAATAATTTCATTCAATTAAACATCTACATATTCAAACAGAATTTATAAACAAACAAACAGACAGCCCTAATAATGAAGATGTATTAGGTTATACAGGTATTCCATGTATACAGAAAATCTGCAACGTATCCATACTATTTGCTACAAAATAATAGACTAGTATGGTGGTATGTGATTGAACATAGCCAGTGATGTAAGTAAAGGACATATAGTTCAGTTTGTCATGATCAGCAGACTCTCACCTTTAGCTTGCTCCTCATCCTCGCTCTCTTCCTCCTGCTGCTCCTCCTCCTGCACTTGGCTGGGGGGTCTGTAAGGTGGGGGGAGGCGCATGGGTGGAGGGCCGCTGGTCTGTCCTGCTTTCTGCTTAAAGAGAAAAGCAAAGAGACTGTGAGGGAGTATAATGCAGCCCACTGTGGAAAGACACTATAAAGGATGCAGAGAAATAAACAGCGAGAGATGAATATGAATGAATGCTGCTGGGAAAACTCTAGACAGAGAAAGATGCAATGATTTTAAAGGGATAGTTCACCTCAAAATGATAATCTAATTAATTAAACAGTTCATCCAGTTTGGGTTTCTCCAACACATCTACTTCAGATGACTGAATATAGTGCACGAGTCATATGGCTCTGTTTTATGCCATTTCTATGATGCTTTTTTTAAAATTCAATTTTGGGTGTACTATTCCTCAAAAGGCAGAGCAAACTTAGAAACCCCAAAGCATGAATAAGAGAGACCGAGATAGAAGGAGAGAGAGATGTGAATGATAAGAGCAAGAAAAGCTGTAACTGGTAGCGAAATTAGGCAATAGGCTATTACGAGAAGTGGTGCCGTAAAACCGCCATTGCCGAAGAAAAGCCTCAGGAGATGGACATGGGAATAATTAGCTGGAAAGCCACCATTGAAGCTGTTATCAAAATCTCAATACAAGGCACTTCAACTCACACAGTTCTACAGATACATGACAAGTATTTACCGTTTGTGCTTTTATTGGACCCCCAAGTGCTATAAATGCACTTCGACTTCATTGGTCAGCGGTCCATTGTTGTGAACAGATTTGTTGCTATACTTTGAAATATGGTCGCTAGGATGTTCAGAGCAGTTTTTAGCATGTCGCTATGGGATTTCTAGGATGTTCTGAGTAGCTTTTAGAACATCAATATGTGATTTCTAGAGTGTTCGGAGTAATTTTTAGAACATCAATATGCCAATTCTAGGGTGTTCTGAGTAGTTTTTAGAACATCAATATGTGATTTCTAGAGTGTTCGGAGTAATTTTTAGAACATCAATATGCCAATTCTAGGGTGTTCGGAGTAGTTTTTAGCACGTCAACATGAGATTACAAGAGTGTTCTAAGTAGTTTTTAGAAAATCAATATTTGATTTCCAGTGGTGGAAAGAGTACTGAAAAAATATACTCAAGTAAAAGTACCATTACATTCCAAAAAAAGTAGTGCGAGTAGAGTAAAAAGTACTTGTCCAAAAAACTACTTGAGTAAGAGTAAAAGAGTAGCTTATTTAAAAGTACTCATGAGTAGTGAGTACTGAGCTGTGGATTAGAAAACATTGTACATACTGTAATTCACATGATCTTTTGTTGTTTATCAGAAAGAATGAAGAATATCTATCATCCAGCAGTTTTAATTTTGACTGCCAACTATTTAAAATGCATCAAAACAACACGGAAAAACTATTAAAGTGATGAAAAGATGAAAGAGTTATTCTCAGTACAATCATCACCATTTAAATCATAAACTTTGAAAAAATAGATTTAAAAATCAGGTACAAGGCCACTGAGCCAGAGCATGCTATTGCTGCTCAAAAAATATTGTTTAGAACAATGCAAAGAATATAAAACCATTAGAAACAAATACAAGAATTCAGCATCATACACCATGAGATGGGTTAAAAGAGAGATTAAAAAGAGCCATTTTCTTTCCAAAACGGTGCCAGTTTTAGTGTTATGTGATAAAGAAATGAGAATCATAAACATGATAATTTATGTTACAACTTAAACATAAATGCACATTGTTCTAGAAGCAGGGCATCATCTCCTACCTTTTACACATTTACTCAAATTGTTATGCTGATTCTACAATTTGTAAGGAAAATTTTTAATGAAATAAATACAGCCATATCACCCTGCAGCCCAAGACTGGTTGCCCACTGAAGCTAAGCAGGGCTGAGCCTGGTCAGTACCTGGATGGGAGACCTCCTGGAAAAACTAGGTTGCTGTTGGAAGAGGTGTTAGTGAGGCCAGCAGGGGGTGCTCACCCTGTGGTCTGTGTGGGTCCTAACGCCCCAGTGTAGTGACGGGGACAACACACTGGTGGTGATTGAGGAGAGATCCCCCCACATGACTGTAAAAGCGCTTTGGGTGTACAACAATACACAATAAAGCACTATATAAATGCATCATTCATTCATTCATTCAAATAGGGAAATATTTCCGGGGAAACTTTTTCAAAAGAAAACACACACACAAACAAACGCACGTCTCTTTGTGGGGCTGCGGCGATCTCGGTGAATAAGCTGCTCTATCAGCAGCATCTACATCTGAATGAAACCACAAGTGTTGAACTTGAAAATTGTTTTTGCTTGAGTGCACTTGCTAAATGAAGGCAGATTGTATAAAATGAATCAAACAAAAAACTTTGTTTATTAACGAGCTGACTTATTACATCACGCGCTGACACAGATGCAGTATATTAACACCACGGTTCATCAATAAGGTGCATACAGAATCTTGTGCATTATTTCCATGTTTTAGAGTGTTCCCAACACACTTTTTCACAAGCATATCGCGCTCAAACTCATCAGTAGTCGACGAGCTGCGACTTCCCCAAATGACTGCTGCAGGATCGCGCGTCTCTCTCTATACTGAAGTAAATGGGAATGAATTTACCACATTATGAATGTGGCACTTGCGGGAGTTATTAACATTGTACGCAATACCTGCAACCTTCAGGTCTTGGCAAATTTCAGGCCTTGTTGATAGGCTAGCCTATACAGATCATTTAGTAAGCAGAAATCCAAAAATTACCTTAATATATTAGAGGAAGATGCTGATAACTAAATTGATGCTTGAAGAATGCACTTCCAGCAGCCATGAATATTTAAACTACTCAAAAAAGTACAATTTCTGATAAAAACTACTTAATTACAGTAACGTGAGTATTTGTAATTCGTTACTTCACACCCCTGGTGATTTCTAGAGTGTTCTGAGTAGTTTTTAGAACATCAATGTGATTTCTAGAGTGTTCGGAGTAGTTTTTAGAACATCAATGTGATTTCTAGAGTGTTCGGAGTAGTTTTTAGAACATCAATGTGAGAGTTCTAGAGTGTGGAGTAGTTTTTAGAACATCAATGTGATTTCTAGAGTGTTCGGAGTAGTTTTTAGAACATCAATGTGATTTCTAGAGTGTTCGGAGTAGTTTTTAGAACATCAATGTGATTTCTAGAGTGTTCGGAGTAGTTTTTAGAACATCAATGTGATTTCTAGAGTGTTCGGAGTAGTTTTTAGAACATCAATGTGTGAGTTCTAGAGTGTTCGGAGTAGTTTTTAGAACATCAATGTGATTTCTAGAGTGTTCGGAGTAGTTTTTAGAACATCAATGTGAGAGTTCTAGAGTGTTCGGAGTAGTTTTTAGAACATCAATGTGTGAGTTCTAGAGTGTTCGGGGTAGTTTTTAGAACATCAACGTGATTTCTAGAGTGTTCGGAGTAGTTTTTAGAACATCAATGTGAATTCTAGAGTGTTCGGAGTAGTTTTTAGAACATCAATGTGTGAGTTCTAGAGTGTTCGGAGTAGTTTTTAGAACATCAATGTGATTTCTAGAGTGTTCGGAGTAGTTTTTAGAACATCAATGTGTGAGTTCTAGAGTGTTCGG